CACACACACACACAGTCACAGCCCCCCACCTCCCCTGGGGGTCTCCACCCAGACAAGGTGCAGAACAGTCACAGCCCCTGGGGGTCTCCGCAGCCCCTTATCTGCCCATCACCACAGCTTTTAAAAGCAGAGCAGTCCACTTCCATCGAGTAGATGCTGTCCCCACAGGGTGTCCAAGGCTGGACATCTTTACCACAGCAGACTGTCACATCCTTCTCCCACAGAACTTTAACCACTGTGGCACCCGGGCTTTATTGGAGTCAGATTCATTAAGTGCATGGCTGGGTGGTCTCAGTGGGGTCACCTGTCTGTGCAGCTGTTCCCACAGGCCAGGTCTAGACTTCCACCTCCAAAAGTTCCCCAGTGCCCTCTGCGGTCAGCCAGCGTGTGTGTGTGTGTGCGGTCAGCCAGCGTGTGTGTGTGTGTGTGTGTGTGTGTGTGTGTGTGTGTGTGTCGGGGGCGGGGACACGTGCAGGGCCGTAAGGACATTTGTGCTGTAGCTGCACCCGTGTCCGCAACAACCCCGCACACCTGAGCCGGCTACTTCTCTGCATTGCAGCTCACAGGAGGAACAGATTACAAATGCTATTGACAAGCTGTTCGTGTTGTTTGGAGTAGAAATTCTAAAGAAAATCCCCGGCCGTGTGTCAACAGAAGTAGATGCGAGGTAGGAGGGCTTCTCCCAGCGGGGGCAGACGGGCAGGGGCGTGCGCTTGACCCCGAGGCCTGCTCAGCCCACAGGAGTGGTCACAGACTGGGGGCTTCCTACAGGGATGGAAGGCCCATCTGTCTTTCACATAAAGATAACCAACGCTCACTGAGCAGTGTGGTCCAGGGCAGCTTCCTGCAGGGTGTCACCAGGTGCTGTCCCTTCCAGGCTCTCCTTTGACAAGGATGCCATGGTGGCCCGAGCCCGGCGCCTCATCGAGCTCTATGAAGAGGCTGGTATCAGCAAGGACCGGATCCTCATCAAGCTCACATCAACGTGGGAAGGAATTCAGGCTGGCCAGTGAGTGTCCCCAAGGACGGGCTGTCAGACGCTCTGCCCGAATGTGATGAGGGCCAGGGCGGGGTTGCAGGCCGGTGTATGCCTGTCGGAGCCCAGCCCAGGGGGAGAGCCTGCGGGGCTGAGATGGAGCAGGGTAGAGGGATTGAGCCGCAGTCCGCAGTCGAGAGACACCTTCATAGAAGGTGCCGCATCCCTCCTCTCAAGTCCAGTCGGCAGCATCTTCCTCCTTGTAGGCACCCACTGTGCACTCAGCTCACAACCGGAAGGTTGGCGATTTGAGCCCAGCCAACGGCACCGCAGATCAGCGGGCCTGGCCATCTGTGTGATGTGGAGGGGTTCAAGGCCTATGTCTTGCCTGGATCACAAACCTGCTGCAGAACACACTCTGGGAAATGTGGGGGCCCCCTCCCAAGGAGCTGGCAGCGGCGTCAGTGATCGGGCACTGTGTGCCTGCGTTCTGGTGGCCTCCGGGCTGCTTTCTGCTCCTGGGATTCCCTGCTCTGGACATTCTGTAGGAGCGGGGTCAGCACAGTGTCCGCTCGGTTCACCTGTGTAGCATATTCCAGAACTTCAGTCCTTTCCTGAGTGACTCGTATTTGTCTCGCCTCCAACCATATGGCACTGTGACATTGCTCCTCACTCAGGACATTTGAGGGGGACTGCTTGGGGCCTCCATGTGGCGGGATGCCCGCCTGCAACCCTGCGCAAAGTGGGGAGGGAGGGGAGGGGCAGGCGCCAGGTCAGCACACCCAGTTGAGCGTTTCCTGATTGGCTCTTCACAAACGTCCTGTTGGCATGATACTTGTCCCTTCCCCACAGGGAGCTGGAGAAGCAGCATGGCATCCACTGCAACCTGACGCTGCTCTTCTCCTTCGCCCAGGCTGTGGCCTGCGCCGAGGCAGGTGTCACGCTCATCTCACCCTTTGTCGGCCGCATCTTGGACTGGCATGTGGCCAACACTGACAAGAAGGCCTATGAACCGCTGGAGGACCCTGGTGCGCTCGCCGTCCAGGAATGCTGAGGGCGGGGAGGGGGCTTCCACATCCCCCTGCGGGCTGACGGCTGTGTGTCCACCAGGAGCGCTGAGGGCGGGGAGGGGGCTTCCATATCCCCCTGTGGACTGACGGCTGTGTGTCCACCAGGAGCGCTGAGGGCGGGGAGGGGGCTTCCACATCCCCCTGTGGGCTGACGGCTGTGTGTCCACCAGGGGTGAAGAGTGTCACCAAGATCTACAACTACTACAAGAAGTTTGGCTACAAGACTATCGTCATGGGCGCCTCCTTCCGTAACACGGGTGAGGTCAAAGCACTAGCCGGCTGCGACTTCCTTACCATCTCGCCCAAGCTGTTAGGGGAGCTGCTCAAGGACACCAGCAAGCTGGTGCCCACCCTCTCGACCAAGGCGGGTACGTGCCGAGAGTTCTCAGGTGTGAGCTGTGCGGAGTGCGGGTGCCAGGCAGGGAAGCTGAGGCCTCTTCTCTCCCAGCCCAGGCCAGTGACCTAGAGAAACTGCACTTGGACGAGAAGGCTTTCCGCTGGCTACACAACGAGGACCAGATGGCTGTGGAGAAGCTCTCGGATGGGATCCGCAAGTTTGCTGCCGATGCCAGGAAGCTGGAGCGGGTGCTCACGGTGCGTGCGCCTTGCTGGTGCCTTCAGGGCCCCATGGCTGTCCCAGCTCCTCCCCAGCAGCCTGCACTTGGTGGGTGGAAAGCCAGGACACCTGCTTCTTAGCCCCTCACTCTGTGTTTTCTTCCAGGAACGCATGTTCAGTGCGGAAAATGGGAAATAGAGCCAGTTTCCGAGGACAGCGCTGCGGGGCTCAGTGCTCAGCCTTGTGATGAATCGTGCGTTTTTTACCAATTGGAACAAGGATGGATCACAGATTTCTGATTTTTATGTGAAATTTTGCCTTGTGCATTAAAACTGCCACTTGCCTCTGCTGTTTCCATTCTTCCCCCTCCCCATGTAATGGGTTAGGCACCCTGACCACGAGTGCTCTGGCTCCCCCACACTAGGAAGGGCATCTGAGATGTGAAGGTGCCCGGGTTCTGGGTGCCCACCAGCTGGCAACGTGAGTTCCTGATGCTGTGAGCATGAGCAGGTCGGTGAAGGGACAGGCTGAGGGGAGGGCCACAGACAGGCCAGCAGGCATGGGTTCCCAGGGGGCATGTGATGCAGCCTGGGGATTGGGAGTCTGCAGTGGCTGGCTCCCCAGGTTCAGGAGGGTCAGGGAGCAGAGCACACCGTGGTCAGGCCTACATACCCCTTGCTGGCCAGATGTCAGTAGAGGAGTGGGGTGCTCCTGGAGCCCAGGCCTGCCATGTCCAGTTCTGACCACTGGGTGGCAGCCTCTGCCTTCCTCCACAGTGCCCAGGTGCCCAGGCTCAGCCTTCCAGACCTCCAGTGCCAGGAGCTATAGGTCTCAGGTGGCTAGAGGACCCCTTTTGTGAGCTTAGGGGAGCCAGCAAACTCTACAAGCTGCTTCTTACCTGGGCTCCCCACCCAGGGCCTGGAAGGGGGGGCGGGGTACACAGTCTATATGCATGTCCCTCCCAGCCCAACACCCAGCCATCTGGTGGTTATGGATCTGGATGGTGCACACAGACACCTGGTAGTGCTGGAGAATGAGAACAACTCACCACACGGTCAGTAGTTCAAACCCACCAGCCGCACCACAGATAAGCAGGAATGGGCTTGTGGGGGCTGGGGCTGCACATTTTATAGGCGGGTGGCATCACACTGCTGTGTGGGCCCCTCCCGGGTGCTTGAACCAGCTCATTCCTCGTGACTGAAAACCTTGTGGGCGGCTGTTTGTCAGATGGCCCTGGGAACGTCTCCGGGGGCTGTGGTGAGCAAGTGTTACGCAGGCAGACAGTTTTATTTCTCTTGGGTAAATACAGGGCTCTTTCCTCCACTGGCCTCCCTCCCAGCTGAGGGCTCCCCTCTCCCCAAGTTGGTGGGCAGCCCTCCACCCCCACCACGATGTCCTCACTGGGGAAGAGACCATGGGTGACCCCCATGAGACAGGTCTATGGGAACTGAGCCCCCCCAAACCACCACAGCCCCAACCTGGCCCTTGGCAGAGATGCCCTGGAAAGATGACCTTAAGTTTTCTAGGCAGATGCAGGCATAAGTGGGAGCAGGGGCAGGGCCACTCAAGGCTCCCCAGGCCAGGAGGTTGGTCCCTTCCTGTCAAACAGCAGAGGCCTGCCCATGGCTGGCTGTCCCACCACAGGAGTCTCCACCAATGGACAGTGACCTCCCTGCCCCACTGAGATGCTCCCTTACATTCTGAGACCACGCTCTGGGCTAGGGGTAAAATGTCTCCAGCAGGCTGCTTCCCATCCCCCGCTGGTATGGCTGGAGTGTGGCCCCCAGGAAACTGCTGTACCCAGCAGCCACAGCCCCCCGCCAGGCTCCTCCCTCAGCAAGATAAGTCCTGGCCCCCAAGTCCAGTGCCTACGTGGCTGCTCTGGTCTTCCTGCTCGGGCTTGCATGGTGCTATCTCCAGGTGGGTACAGATGGCCAGAGGGGAGTGTCCAGAGCCAGCGCCAGCCTACCTGCCCCCAAAGAGCAGAGCAGCCCAGGACGCCCACCCCCACCCCCATCACGCTAACTGAACTCAGCATTCGGCAGGGGTTCCACAGTGGCTATGGCCCTAGGGTCCTTGTCTCGCCTCCTACTAAGGAGAAGTGGGGGCCCAAAGGGTCCCAGCCAGGTGCATGTCAGCTCATCACAGGCCAGATGCCCCCAGCTCCAAGGTGTGGTGTCCAAAGATTTCCTCTGTGGACACGGGTCCTCGGTGGTGGCCTCCTGACGAGGTCCACCTCATTTCCTGTGGGATACACACTTGGTCACGGCTGGGGTGCCCTCGCCCAGGATCCCACCGCCCAACCACCCATCGGCCGGGCCTTACCGGCTACCGCAGAGCAAGAGCAGGTTCTGCACTGCCAGCACAGTGGAGCTGGCGTTCTGGCCAGTGACAAGATGGCGGTCCAGCACCACGTGCACAGCGTCCGGCTCGCTGGCTGCAGGGACGAGAGTAGATGCTCAAGCATGGCCGCCCACCAGACCCATACAGCAACTACCCATTCCTGTCCACCCAGGGGCCATCAGAGTAGTCAGGATCCCACACAGCCACTGGCCACCAGGTCCCCTGGGCCAAGCTCAGGGGGCCAGTGCTGTCCATGCCTCCACGCCCCGACTCACCACTGAAGCTGGCGCCCGCATCCTTGACAAAGTCCTCCACCACCAGGGGCAGGCGGGCAAAGCCAGGCGCCCGGACCAGCTCGTACACGGAAGGCTGTGGCGGAGGGTGTGGGGGACACTGAGGAGGCCAGTGCTCTGTGATCTGGCCTGCAGGAGCCACTGACAGCCACAGAGTGAGGGGGAGTCCCCAAAAACACTGAGGGCATGCTGGGGGGGTGGCTGGCAGCTGGGCCCCAGCAGTGGGGCTTGGAGGTAACACAGGGATGTGAACACTACTTAATCCTCGGACTCTGCCCATCTGTCCTGTCCTGAACTGCAATGCCTCTGCCTGTCCACCAGCTGGGCACAGACCACAGCCTCAAGCAACCCTAACCCTAGAAGCCCGGGTTCTCCTGTTCCCAGAGACCTCCTCACAGACCCTAGGGGGCCACGTCAACACACTCACTGCCAGCATCCTGTGTCCCTCCAGCCCCCTCCCCACAGCACCTGCACTGCCCATGAGGGGGCCTGTCAGCGTCAGGGTGGGCAGAACTCACCCCCGTCATGCTGTAACCCTGGAAGAGCCAGCCTCCGTCCTTACTTGTAGCACAGCACAAGGCGGCAACACCATGGCCAACCGCACAGATGGGCTCTGAAGGTGGGCACAGCAAGGCTGAGGGTCCCTGAGCCCCAGCACCACTCTCCCACCTCCCTGACCACCCCAGCCCCAGCCCCAGCTCCTCTCTGCAGGCAAGGTCCCTCTGCAAAACCAGGCAGTGGTTCAGAGTTCACGTCCTCTCCAGGGTTGGAAACCAAGAAAAGCTTATAAACCAGGGAGGTCAACAAAGTCCCAGTCACCAGCCGCCAAGGACATCAGGGACCCTCCGGAGCCTCCAGGTGCTGAGCTGGCCCTACTGCCTTACACCATGCTGGGGGGCTTAGGCCATCATGTATCGGTGCACAGACCCCACAAGGAGGCGCTGCAGGGATGTCCTCCCTCCATGCAATCAGAGGACAAGCCTGCCACACCCCTCCTGGGAGCCCCCAACCCAAAGCCATCACCAGCCAGTCCCCCAGAATACTGCCTTTCGGCACGATCACCCAACCCTCCCTTCCTCCCAGGATGCTGCCACCAGGGGGACATTCCCATGGCTAAGGCAGCCTGCCTGCTGTGTGGGGTCAGGAGGCCCCAACCCAGGACAAAGGTTCCCATGTGAGCCCCCGGCTCGTAATGCACCTGGCCCAGGGCCAGCGGCCGCACCATCACCCAGTCCACACAGAGCGGCCCCTCTCCAGCCCTTCAGATCCTGGCTCCAACCCAAAGCACAGGCTAAACTTTCCCATAGGAACCAGAGCCAGCCGAGGGAAGCCAGGGGGCCCAGCCAGGCCATGGGGCCAAGGCAAGGCACACAGAGCCAGGGGCACACACGCTCCAAAAGGGTGCAGACCCACCCATTACCATGTGGACGGGCGCCTGCCCTTGTGAAACACCCCAGTACTCCCAGTTCCCAAACACTGCCCCTGGGCTGCCCCGGTTCCCACACCAGTCTCCCCAGTCCCAGGGGTCACTTACTGCTCTCGGAGCAGAAATGCTGCAGGATCCGGGCCAAGGACCCACTGCTGGTCAGGTCGGCCAGTGCCCCAGGACAGCTGGGGACAAGCAGGGCATGGTAGCGAGCCCCTGAGGAGAGAAACAGTTCAGCTTTCTGGATCTCCTGCCCCAGATGACCTGGACAGGCCTGGGTCTGCTGGCCACCTTGCCCTCCGGGTCAGCTGTTCTGGTGCTGTGAGCAGACACAGGTTAGGGCACAGGGTGCCTGGGCTAGCCAGGGGCAGCAGTGTCTGGAAAGGGTTAGGGGGCTTCAGACCAAGTGGACCTCACCTACCCACCCGCAGGGGCCTCACCATCGATGGACTCAAGCTTGGCGGGGCTGGCATAGGACCTGAGGCGGAAGTCCTGGGCCCAGCGTGTACTGCTCTCGTCCAGGTCCACAAAGTCCACAGCCTTTCCCTGCAGGCAGAGACTAGGTCAGCCGGACACGCCGCCAGGAGCCCTCAGGACGCACGGCGCTACCTTCTCCAGGCTGCCCAGGCAGGGCCCACCCAAGCTCAGCGCACCCAGCCTAGTGGTTACCAGTCGGGCTGCTAATCTCAAGGGCAGCAGTTCGAAACTACCAGCTGCTCCGAGGGAGAAAGATGAGGCTTTCTGCTCACGTAAAGATTTACAGCCTCGGAAACCCTGTATAGGGTCGCTATGTGCTGGCTCCATGGCACACAACCACCATCACCCCTCCAAGCAGAATAAGGGCCAGGAACACGGTACTCACCCCCGGGGTGGCCACCTGCAAGTTGAAGGCAGCGCTGGCCAGTGTGAAGCAGTGCAGAAAAGACGGGGCCGACACACCTGTGGACAAGGACCACCCTCCAGCTGTGGAGACCCCGTCCAGGGACCCTGAGGAACGGTCCCAGGCCAGCCCACCCCGCCTGACAGGTGGCATTGCAGGAGACCAAGGCTTGGAGGGCATGGATGGTCCAGGGGCAGCCAAGGCTAAACGTCAGCCCCGCAGGCTCTCCCCAACACACACACACACACACACACACACACACACACACCCAGAGCCCTTTCCAGAGGGTCCTGCCCTGGCTGCGGTCAGCCCCTAACCCTCCTGGTCCCCTACCTGCCAGTCTGCACCTTCCCTAGAGACGCATCCACTCTGTCCCTGCCTGTACTGATCTCCCTCCGTCGGTACTCACAGGGCTCCCTGATTGTACCCCAGGCCCTCTCCTGCCCACACAGGGCTCCTGTCCGTCACCTGGCGGGCAGGACCCACCTGCACCTCTGAAGAGCCACGATCCTAAGCCCAGAACCTGGGAAAAGCCCTGCCCGCTGCCGACGTTCTGGCGGCCGAGGTCCCTCCAGTGCTGGGGTCGGCTGCCCACCCGCCAAGCCCGATGACCTCTTCACCACTATGCACCCACCCTCACCCCACTTGCAGCCTGGGATCCAGGGCACCCACTCTCCCGTGGCCTCACCCCCAGGCTGCAAGGGGACTGAGCCGGCGGCATCCCCTGTCCGATCGGTCATCGTGGCAGCCAAGAGAGGGCCGTGCACCGCCGCCCCTGGGCCTCCGACTGCCCCTCAGGCAGGCTCAGCCTCGTCCTGCCCCAGTGGGCCGCTGACCACGGGGACCCCGGAACGGCACGCCCAGAATTGTCTGCGGTACCGTCCCAGCCCGCGCCCCAGAGGACCCCGACGCGCTGGAACCCGAGACTCACCCTCTGCAGCGCCACTGGCCACGAGAAGGCAGGCGGGCCGGCTTGGGAGCCGCTCGGACGCCATGGCTCGGGGCGTGGGGCGGGGCTGCTCGGCGGCGCGTGCGCGTGCGTGTGCAGGGCGTGCGCGGGAAGGGGCGGGCTCTCATCACCTGGCGTGCGCGCGGCCGGGAGGACAAAGATCACGTGACGCAGCAGCCTGTGAGCTGGGCGGTGAGCAGCTCAGAACGCATGCGCATCTCCTCTTCCCGCCCCGTCTGCTTCTGGCCCCTCCCTGTCTACTCCTCCTCCTCCCGCCCTCCCCTCCTAGTGCGGTTAGAGGTCAGAGTCGGTGCCACAGTCCGTGTGGGCCGCCGCGTCTTCAATCCCCGTCTTTCCATACCCGACTCTTTGATACGTAAGAGCCGGAGGGCTGTCATACATAAACATAAGAGGCTCTTCCTGGACGGAAGCCTCAGCGATCCCAGCAGACCCCTGGCCCTGCCGGTAGTTTCTTCCCAAGACCCTTGATTGGGGCAATAAGCAAGTCCCGCTAGCACTAGCCCGGGGAGAGAGTCCTTGTCCGTGAACCTGGGCCCTAAACGATGAATTGCTGCAGGCCACCCCATGCTTCCACCGTGCTGGCCACTCGAGGTCACACAGGGAGCCCAGGGGGCTGGACACTGGACTGTGGAAAGGTAAAGGAAAGTATGTTAGAAGGTGGCTAGAACGTGAGGGAGGTCTGCTCAGAGCTGCAACTCAGTGGGCCATCAGGGTGGGTCACACTTGAAGGTGACATTGGAGGACAGTGGATGGTGTGGGCCTTGCTGTGGGCTTTGGGCAGAAGCCACAGACCAGAAAGGGGGCCCAAGGCCCCTGTGAAGGACTGGGATGGAAGGATCTCACCTCAACAGAGAACAGGGGTGGGGAGACAAAGGGATATTTAGGGTCACTCAGGCAGGCTTGAGCTGAGATCACCCTTAACTTCCTGAGAAGATGGTGCCCTAGGGTGATGGGTTTGGTTAGGAAAACGGAAGGTGCAGTGTGGCCAAATGATTTACGGTGGGTTTTCAGTAATTGTTGAAAGAAAAGCTGGGGGTGGCCGAGTAAGGCTGTTAGCAGTCAGGCCCTGGAGTGGAGAGAAATGGACTGAGGGTGCCTCGAACATGAAGAAGAGCAGCCAATATGGAAGGGTCTGGAAGGATTCGGTATGGAAAGTCTGGTAAGGGAGGATCAAGCATAGAAGGGTCAGCTATAGCAGAGAAGGCATGGCAGGGTCAACGAGGCCCAGCGAGTTACTTCCTATGATTCTTCTAGCCATAGTTGTCTTCTGCACGGACCCTCTATTTGACCAAGTGTGATGTGGTTCTCTAGGGAGGAAGACCCTCAATGAAACCAGTTGACACAATGGCTACAACGGTGGGCTCCAGCATAGGAACGATTGTGAGGCTAGCCCAGGCGCAGCTAATAGACATTGTCCTTCATTCTGTGACGTGGTGCAAATCCTAGAGAGAGGGACAGAGAACACACCATTTGTGATGTGTTGTAAAGCCTAGCGTCTTTGCTTATAGGTTTGAAACACATCACCAAATGCAGGAGTCTGTATAACAGAATGTAACATGACCCGCTCATGGGCCAGCCTCACAATCGTCCCTACGCTTGTGGCTCCATCCAATAAACACTGGACTGTGAACCACAAGGCCCATGGTTCGAGCTCACCAGCCACTCCATGGAAGAAAGATGAGAGGAAGACTCCCCTCACCCCACTCCACCCCCACCAAAAGAGATGGCATGACGCAGCGGCGGCAACAGTGGGCTTTGAGGTTGGTGCAGGGCCGGGTGCGGCATTGTTCTGTTGTGCATAGGGCCACTCACAGCACATCGCCTCTCACTGGAGCATGTGACTCAAGTCACACTCCTGTTGGTGTCAGTCACACTATCTTCCAAGAGGTAAGAGAGGGGGGGACCTGAATATCACTTGAGCACAGTGTGTCCTTTGCATCTGGAGTGCCTGTTCTGGGAACCTCCTAGATCCAGGAGACAGGGAGCTGGTGACCAAGAGACAGCACAGTGGGCTTCCCAGACCAAAGGGTAAGAAAGTTGAGTGCCTTTGGGCAGGAGGCTTTCTGGCAGAGCCTGTGAGCGAGCACTTGGTTTGCCAACGTACAGAGCTAGAGCTAAGAGCCTGTGGGCCACACTGGCAGATCCACACACTGGCAGATCTAAAGAGCTGTGTAATACTGACCTTGAGCAGGGAGGAGGTCTAGCCAAGTGCCGGAGGGCCAGAGAGAGACCTGTTCTGATCAAAAACCAGTATGCAGAGACTTCCTGACCCTGAACTGTCCCTGGGACTTCCTTAATAAACCCCATGCTCTTGAGTGTCTGCAAGTTAAGTGTGGTCATTGCTACAAATTATCAAGCCAAGTAAAGAAGTGCATGCCACCCAAGGGAGGGACAGTTGGGGTCAGAATTGATAAGAAGGGTGGAGGCATGTCTGACCTCTGTTTATAGGAATCAGCCTTGGGCTTGATGTTAGCTGTCGCCCTCCTGAAGTTTGGGAAGGTCAGACGTCCCCCCTGCCATGACATTCTGTAGTCAGATATGGAAGGCTTGGGCGATGAAGGGTCTGGCATGGAAGGATCAGATATGGAAAGACTCTTGACCAGGTTGGGTATGGAAGACCCTGCATGGAAGAGACGCCACAAGGCTTGTCTAAAGTCCCTTCAACTTTCGCTTGCACCAGGGAAACCATTGTCATGGTTGAGAACCACCCAAATACCTCACTCCAACAAGCCTATGAGAGACACCTCCCCCTGCTCCATGCGGCCCAGCCTGAAGGGGAGGCCCTGATCAACTGGGCAGTCAGGAGCTCCCTGCCCCACCTGCTGATGGCCCACATCCTTGAGAAAGCAGGGTGCAATGGGGGAGGTGCCCAAAGACAGAGGGGTCTGGTTAGAGATATACATGGGATGGGCCTTGTCACACAGGGATACTTCTGGGGTGCAGACCCCCACACACACTCAATATGTGGTGTCAGAGCTGTAGCATAGAGGGGCTGGGTGGAATGGGATACATCAGAGTCTAGCTGCTGGCCTGCCCACGGCTGAACTGGCTCTTCAGAGCCCACCACCCTCCTCCTAACGTCACCAATGGTGGCTATAATGCCACCTCCTTGAGTCCCAGACTGCGGGGACTCCTTAAGACAAGCTGTTTGTTCCTCCTGTTTCAGGAAGAGGAGGGAAGGAGAAGCCAGAGCCCCTGCCTGATGGTGAACAAAGAGGCGTGTGTGTGTGTGTGAGTGTGTGTGTGTGTGTATGTGTAGAACCCTCGAGACTGGACTTTACTCACTCTGTAGGTGTGGAACTGAGCTCATCCCTGTGGCTTGGGTTTCAGCCTGATAATGTTGTTGTTTGTCATTGTAGTTAGGTGCCATCATGTCATTTCTGACACATAGTGACCCCATGCACAACAGAATAAAACGCTGCCCAAACCTGTGCCATCCTCACAATTGTGGTTACACTAAACCCTCTGCTGCTCCCACTGTGCCAATCCATCTCACTGGGCATCTTCCTCTTTTTCGCAGACCCTCCACTTTACCAAGCATGATGCCCTTCTCCAGGGACTGGTCCTTGCTGACGACATGTCCAAAATACAAATCTCCCCCTCCTCGCCTTCTAAAGGACTTTCTGGCTGTACTTCTTCCAAGACAGATTTGTTTGTTCAATATTCTTCACCAACCATAACTCAAAAACATCTGTCTTCTACAATCTTCCTTATTAATTCGGTTAATCATCTATCAGCCAGGTCTGTAAAGTGAACAATGCTATCAGGGAGGTATACACTCAGAATAAATCAGCCATTGAGATCAAAAGAGTGACATTTACCCACGGACAAAGGTCAGAAGGCAGGAAAAGGTAAGGCAGTGAGAAAGGAGGAGGACTAGAAACAGGTGATTTTGCATTGTATGGATTGCAAGCAATGTGGAAAACAAGTGTCCCATTTGCTCTGTAAACCCCCACAGGCAGTGTGTCCTGTGTAGGAAGGAGCAGACGTAGGTCCAGGGTGAGTGTATATGCATGTGTGTGATCCCAGTCCAGGGTGTGACTTAACTCACACGTTCACACTTCAATTACAAGTCTGTAGTTTTCCATTTTGTCTCTGGAACTTGCTCGCACTGGGGTCAAATCCAAGGAGGGTGGGAAGCAGGGGTCCTGGAGGCCTTGACTCGGGAGAGCCAGCCACTGCCTCTGGCTTTGCAGCCTGGTCGGCCTTGGAGCTCAACTTCCCAAACTTCTCTGTGTGGATTCCTGCCCTCAGAGTATACCTGAGCCTCCCCTGGAGGCCTTTGTTCTTGTTACTTCTCCCTGGAATGCTAAACCGATTTCTCTTTCCATCAAACTCCTAACTATCCCTCAAGGTCCGTGGACACTAGGAGATCCTTGTGGCAGCCACTATTCCTGAGGACTGCCCTTCCTTCCCCCACAGGGTTGCCCTGAATGACCCTGGGGGACCTGGGATCTGGGAACTTGGGGTGGGACACGTAGCGGTTCCTAGGGGGAAGGGAAGGTGGGCCATGGTGGCCCCAATTCCTGCTGTGTGGACAGGCCAGTGGAAAAAGCCAGGTCTCAGCAGAAGCCCTGTGCCTCCCGCCTTAGCACCCAGGCCCCCTGCTCCAGGGTCTCCATAGCCAAGGTTGGGCTGGTGGCACCCAAGCATGAGGGTGGGAAGCTTCTGAACTGGGTAATGGGGGCAAGAGAGTTGGGCTGGGGTCTAGGCTGGTCTGTCCCATGTTCATGCTCCCAAAGGACCCCAGGAACAGCTGAGCAGAGCCCTTCTTCTGTTCCTACGATCCGACCCACATGTTGCATCCTGGCTGCCCCAGAGGTCCCAGTGCTGGGAGCAAACTTGGGGTCTCATAAAGCCCCCTGGAGCAGAGGGAACTTAGACTGAGAGTACCGTGCTGGGCTGGGCACCAGGGCGGAGTCTCCATCATCCTTGCCTTGGTTCTCTGGCAAGCAGCAGAGGGACTGGGCCAGGGCCAGGGCCAGGACATCATACGGCCTTTGGCACCCCTGCCCACGGTCACTGCCTGGACAGACTCCATCCCTCTGGAGCCTGCAGCACTGAGCTCAGCCCAAGTCCAAGGCCCGAGCCGTGGAGATGAAGGACTCTGCCCACTCAGGGTGGGGTGGAGAAGCAGGGGAGACCAGGTGTCAGAGTGGCCAAGAAGCACAGCACCCTAAGGGAGTGTCCACATGGGTGGGTCACAGCCATGCCCAGCCTGGCAAGGCCCTGGTCACTCTGCTAGATGGAGAGAAGAGTAAGCCCAGCTGCTCAACCTCTCAGCCTGGTTACACCAGCTGTGTGGGGGAAGAATTCTTGGTGAACACAGTCTGCCATGTCTCCGGGCAGGGCTGAACCACCAGAGTCAAGGTTTGGAGGTGGCTGGCAGAGCCAGTGAAGAGGCCTAGGGCTCCCTGCCCACCCCTGGTGCAGACCCTTGACCCACATCCCACACCCCTCCAGCCCAGTGTGGATGAGGATACCAGTCAGGTCATTGTTGTTCAGCACCGTCAAGTAGGTTCTGACCCATATCGACCCTGATTAGGGTTTCCCAGCAGTGGCTGCAAACTGACTATGCAGTTTAGCACCTTAACCCACGGGGCCACACCAGGACTCCAGTCAGGCCATTAGACAATAGCATTTATTTCAGACTCGGCCTCCACAAAGGCTTGGGGTCCCGGCGGCCGGCTGGCCTGGTGCCCACTGCCACTCTCTGAGAGCCCACCCCTGCCGCCAATGGCTCAAACTGGACCAGACTTGCAGGCGGGCCTCCTCGCGGCATGGGGCAGTGGGCACGCACGGTGAAGGTCTCAGCCACGCTGTTCTACTCTACCTGTTACTGCATTATACGCTTGTTCGGTTTGGACGGCACCAGAGCAGCCTGGGCCCCCAGGACAACTGCAGAGGGAGGGGCTCCAGCCCCAGGACCCACCCAAGGCTAGAAAAGGGAGTTGCAGGGCCCCCTCCCACCCTGGTGGAGAGAGGGACAGTGGAAAGAGGGACTTGCCTGCTGTAGACCCACAGCAGAACTGGACGCAAAAATGACCAGGTGCTTTAACGTCCCCTGGAGGACTGGGGCTGGGGTCGGGACTTCAGAGACTAGTTCCAGAGTTCTGGCCCCAGCTGGATAGGCCACCCCTGGGACCCCTCCCTGCTGGGCTGGACATTACCCAGTCTTTCCTCACCGAGCCCTCCCTGGCCGACGTCAGAAGCCCAGACCCAGGCTCCCTGTGGCGTGTGCAGGCTGTCAATCTCCCTGTCCCTCTGTGGTATGTCTGTGGGATGGCTACATGTATATGTGTGTGTGCACACGTATGGATAGCTACACCACATATGTATGTGTGTGCACGTGTGCACGGAAGGATAACTATAGGCCACTGCATGCACTATTTTCCCAGTCTGCCCCGGAAGGGCTACCTGCCCCGCCTGTACACTGCCCATCATTTTTTCCTGGCCAGGAAGGCCACACCAAGAACTAGGGCCACAGCAGCCACAGCTACACCCCCAGCCACTAGCAGCGGTGTCAAGTTCTCCAAGGGCCAGGGGCCTCGGCCCCCTGAGCTCCTGATGCCAGCTTCGTCCTCCTCAGCGCCGTCCCCAGGACCCTTGGGCTCCGTGGTTGCATCAGGACTGCTGGGGGCTGCAGGGGCCGAAGGGGCTGGCTTCAGGTTGCTGTGGTTGTTGAGGAGGGCGGGGTCGGCCTTGGCCGGGGTCTTCTTGGTAGGTGCTGGAGTGGGGGCTGCCGGCTGCTCCTGCTTTTCCGCAGGGGTCTCCTTCTTCCCGGGTTTAGCAGATGTGGCCCCAGAGGTTTTCCCATCGGCAGCCGGGGGACCTTTGGGTTCAGCCGGGGCCTGGGGGGCCTTGGTGTCTGGCTTGGGGCTGCTGGCCGACTTCCCCCTGGACTCCATGGTAGGTGGTGCTAGTGGGCTGGGAGGGTGCTCTGCAGGTTGGAAGCAGGTGGTCAGACCTTAAGAGTTCAGGATAGCACACCACTGGGCATTATATGGGGCCTGGAGGGGAAGACGAGAGAGGTCATGTGATGGAACCCAGTTCCTCCTACCCAGCCCATGACCCCCTGTTTCCCAGGCAGCTCTCCACCCCCTCCTGGAGCTCAGACGCCTGGCCTTGGGCCTCAGAGCCTGACAGCTCTCCGAGAGGTCCTTCTGGGCAGACTGGTGCAGGAGGAGATAGAACAGGACCCTCTGCTCTTCACCTCCGGCCTGTAAGTACATGTAGGTGTGCACTCATAGCTAGCTATGTACCCCTGACGCAGGCAGGCCCCTGATGGGGAAGGCAGACCTCCAGCTGACCCTGAGAACTGGGGGGTCCACAGTCAAGGGGAGACAGGTCATAAGCCATGGGGGCACAGGTAGAGCCTACCCACCAAGGACCCTCCCAGGATAGCGCTGTTGTTTCTCAGAGGTGAGGAAAGACCAGAAGACTTGGGCCTGAGGAGTTGAGATCCTCTTCCCAGAGGCTGGAATCCTGGGTCTCTGGCTGGATGTCTGTTCCTCCCAGCTATGGTACCCTTCTCTTCCTCCCAGCCTCAGGACCCCTGGAGCCAGCTAGGTGGGCACCCACACCCCTGAATCTGCAAGGAGGGTGGGGGCTCTGGAATGGAGGAAAGGCCCCGTCCAGATTTTCACTGTTTGTGGGGGAGGAGGTAGACACCCTGATCTTGGTGGGTCTCTCCCTGAAGACCTGTTTTCTTCTCTGGGCAGGGCAAGAAATCCCCCCACCCGCAGGTAAAGGGACACAGTGTGGGGGCTGCAGGCCAGGCCCTCCACCTATGGCCAACAGTGTTGGTCACATTGAAGGTCACCTGAAGGTCACAGTGAGATGGGGGTGTCTGAGTGAGAGGCCCCATTGCTCCCCCGTGCCCCCAGGAGTCCCAGCTGCTCCATCACCTTCCCAGGCCTGCAGAGGAACCTGCTTGGCAAAGGCAGGTGGTCTGCTCAGCTCCTTCCTCCACAGACCCTCTAATTATTTTTGGCTCACACTGACGTCACTCACATTGTCCCTCCCCCGCTCCCCAGTGCTCAGCTCAAAGGAGCTAGGGGTCCAGTGCTCACAACCCTGGTGACCTTCAAGGCAGGGGATGCCCCCCCACCCCGCTTCGTCCCCACCCGGCAGGTACCGCGGGGACCCCACCCCTTGCCAAGACCCCAGCTGGCTGTGAACCCCTTTGCCTTACGCTGCCCTCGGCCAACTCCCACTTCGAGCTGCGGCGCTCTCTCGACTGACAGCAAGCGGGCGGCGGCTGCTGCGGACGGCAGAGAACTTGGGAGTTTCCCACAACGCACTGCGGCCGGCCGCAGGAAGGAGGACCAAGGGGGAGGAGCAGCAAGTGGCAAATGAGTCCTCGGATCAGCGGGCTCCGCCCCACTCAGCAAGGCGGCGCTTCGGACTGGCTGGGGCCTCTGGGTCCTGAAGCTCAATTGTGTGTGTGTGTGTGTGTGTATGTGAGAGAGATCAGTTTGGGGGTAACAGAATCATTACCATTTCTGTAATCTTCACCGGTACAGCTCAGTGATCATATCAATCATCACCATTCACATTCCTCACCCTACATGCCTGAGACCTGCTCCATAGCTTCCCAGACTGTAAAATCTTTACCAGAGCACATGACCTTAGCTTTCTCCCGAGAAGCGACTTCTAGGTTTGAACTACCAACCTTGCAGTTAGCAGCCCACTGCTTAACATACAGTGTCACCGGCATTCCTTCTATCACCATTGTTAAGTGCTGGCAAGGTGGTACCAATCTTTATGGGAGTAGAAAGCCTCCTCTTTCTCCCGCGGAGCAGCTGGTGGCTTCCAATCGTTGACCTTGTGGTTCACAGTCCAGCACTTATCCTACAGAGCCAGTGCGTTCCTTCCATCACCATTTATCATTCCCACACTCAGCTTTTGATTCCAAAGGAGGCTTCTGGGTAAGGCAGAAGGCTAAGGCAGCCCAATTCACACCCCTCCCCCTACAGCAGGAAAAAGGATGCCTCTTTCTCATTGTCAGGGCCCCTCCAGGGTTGGCGGGGGGGAGACATAGACTAGCTATTGCCGGAGAAGCTACTTTTCCCCACCTCACCCCCAAACAGACTCCTGCAAAGGCGGCATGTATTTAGAATATTTATTTATCCTCTTACAAGACGACACAAAAAATTACTTCTTAAAACTCTTCAAAAGAAAAAAAAAATAGAATTCTGTAAGCAGCAGCAGCAGCTGGCTCCCAGGGACAACCGTGAACTGGGGGGGCCCAGGCCTGAGCCCCAGGTAGTGTCAATGGGAGGGCCCTGGAGGGGCCCTGGAGGGATGAGGGGGACAGGATCAGTCACCAACACAAACACTGGCTGAGGCAGCCGGGCGCCTGCCTCAGTTCACAATATCTCAGTTCACAACAGGGGTCACGACTTGGAGCCTTCTGGAGTGTGGTCAGGGACCTGTGGAGAGGCCCGACGAGGACGGGCTCCACACTGGTCCTCGGGACTGGTCCTCCCTCTGTGGGAGGAGGGTCAGACCTGAGGTGTGGAGTGTCAGAGGAGGGGTCAGTCCAAGATGCAGCAAGAGGGATGGGACTGCAGTAAATCCCTGGACAGTCAGCAGAAAGCCTGGGCCACACGCACTATGCCCACCACATGGTAGGGGCCAGGCGGCTGAGGCCTAGGCAGCATGACCTGACTCCAGAGCACACACAAATACGTACACACAGACACACACAGAGACCTCACATGCTCAGCGCCCTCAGCTGGGGAGGTTGGGAGCAGATGGATCCTCCACGAGGGTGCTGAGGCCCACAGTGGACAGGGAGGAGGGTCTGCCCTGGGAGTCAGTAAGACCCCACTTGGATTCCTGGCTCAACACTGGGAGGAGACCGCAGCCCTCCTGCAAGCGAGGAGGTGGCCCGAATCCTGGCTGACAGGGAACAATAGCAAGACAGCATTGTCGAAGGGCGGGAGTGCCATGGGCCTGTGCAGGCTCAATAAATAGGTTTGTGCAGGGCCCCTTGTGGACCAGGGGCCACGCCTTAGAACCAAAACTGGTGGGCTGCCTTGGGGAGGATCCAGTCACCAGGTCTAGGCCCAGGGCCCCCAGCCCAGAGACCAGCTCTGCCCTGGGGGTGCTGAGGTCAGGCTGGGTGGGGTTGGCTCCAGGAATGTACAGATTTCTGCATTTTCTACATAAATAAAGACATTGATCCCATGGTTGTGCAGACAGGACCCCATGGGGACCTACAGGTGCACCACCCGAGTGGACCCTGTGCCCTTCCTCGGCCCTCTCCTGGTGATGCAGGGAGAGGCCTCCCCTCCTCTCTCAGTCCTGGGGTGGCACTCAGGCCCGGGGGCCCTGCAGCTGCCCCAACAGAGCCTCAGCGATCCCCAGAAAGTAGACCACCTGGGCAATACCGAAGAGCGGGGCAATGACCAGGGCCCGGCAGTAAGCGCCCTTCAGGAAGGCCGAGGGCCCCTCATGCCGCAAGATCTTCCTGTGGGAGAAGGCTCAGTCAGGGGGGGCCCACCTCTCCCACCCCTGCTCCGCCCCACTCCTGCCTTAGGCTACGTCACCCACCTGGCACAGTCCAGGAACCCTGAATAGGTGTCCTCATTGACCCCACGCTGAAGCGACTGGAGGCGTGTCTTCACCACTGCCAGGGTGTGGGGGAAGGGTACAGGGTCAGGGTGGGAGCCCTGAACCCACTCCTGAGGTACCCCCTTGGCCCCTTACCCGCCCGGGAGCCCAGTCCAAGCACTGACCGTCACAGGGATTGACAGCTACAGCAGCCGTGCTTCCTGCCACACAGCCGGCCAGGAAGGACACGTAGAACGGCGATTTCTCGCCAGATGCTGGCTGGCCCAGCTGGTTCAGGTTGGCGAAGAGCGGGAAGTAGACGATGGAGAAAGGGACATCCCTGAGGGAGGAGAGGTCAACTGTGATGACCAGGGTGACGCAGGCAGCAGGGGGCTGCCCTCTACACCCTCCCTGACCTACCCACCTGAGTAGTGTGGCCCCCAGGCCCTTGTAGAGGCCCGCAATGCCTCGGCTCTGCAGCAGGTCCCGGGTCAGCTGGATGGCTGTGGGTCGGGGGACTGTGGACGCCTCCACCGTGGGCCGGGCCCCACCCTGGGCTGACAGCTGGGCAGCCAGGACCTTCTTCTGAGCAGCTGAGGGGGAAGGGGATGAGCTTGCTGGCTCTCCCGGGGGGAGAGGGCAGGGAGATCCAGCCCACCACCTGAGCCCAGTCTCCATCCATCCCCACCTATGCGGCCGGCATCCTGCAGCTGAATCTTCAGCATCTCCATGGGGGTGGTCACAATCACCTGACAGGTGCCCGCCCCACAGCCGGCCAGCATCTCCTTCAGCAGTGTCAGCTTCTGCCTACAGCAGGGAGACACACAACGGGGTGGGTGCGCTGGAGGCAACCCAGCCGCAGCCTCGGGCACAGAGCCAGAGCCAGATGGCTCGTGGGCAGGACCAGAGGCAGGCTGCCGGCCGGCCACCTGTACACAGAAATACAGAGCACTGGGCTCTCCTCTAGAAATGAGAGAAAGCGGGCTCGGGCCTCTGAATTTCAACCTGCATGGGGGTGGTGGGTGATCCATGGCAGAGCCCCTGGTGGAGTCCAGCCTGCTGGCCTGACCCTACCCGTCCCATGCAGCCCAGCCCCTCACCCGTCCTTGGAGAGCTGATAACGGAAGAAGTCATTAGCGGCTAGCTTGATGGCCTTCTCCGGGGTGACGAGGGTCAGGTTCACAGCAGCTCCTATGGACACACGTGGTCAGGTGGAGATGGGCGACAGCAAGTCAGGGGGGACACTGGCCTGAGAGGGAGGCTCTGGGCCAGCACTTGCGTCTGGGCTGGCCAAGCCCGGCCCTACGAGTCCTTGGCGCCTCCTCCTGCCCTCTCACCCACATTTGGGTCTGGTGTGTGCCAGGCAGGGGCGGGCAGCAGGGAGGGGTGGGGGCAGCGCCGCCCTCCACCTCCTCCCACATTCTGCTCACCGTCCCCTGCGTGACCCTCCCTTTCCTGCCTCCATCTGCCGCTTAACTCCAGTCAGTGCTAATGGGCCATGGAGACCCCCAGAGCCCACAGGGGCCCACCAGGTGGTGCGAGAACCGTGCTCAGCATGTGCAGGTCAGAGTCCTTAGGGGAGGCAGAGGAGCCCCATTGGAACTGAGGGCTCAGGGCAGCTGGAGTCTGGGCAAACTGTAAATTGCTTCCTAAGACTCTTTATAGTCATTCCAGCCCCCGCCCGATTCTCTCAGCCCCAGCCGCACTCCAGGGGAGGAGCCTGCAGCTGCCTCAGTGGAGACCCAGCGCCACCTGCAGAGCCTCCCAGGAGTAGCCCAGGTGGTATGGGCTGAGAACCCCACTCACCAGAAACCCAGCCCTCCTGCCCTCCAAGGTTCACCCTCTCCAGAAGGCAGCTCCCCCCAAAAACACAACCATGCTCCCCCCGCCTTGTTCAGGCTTACCACGGTACATGCCAAAGTAACCCTCCATGCGAATGGTTTTTATGAGGCAGTCGGACCTGCAAGGCAGGGGAGGCAGGGGAGCGTGAGTGGACCACAACTAGCCTGGGCAGACAGGATGACGCCCTGTCCCACACCAAACAAGGGTCTTCAGGCCTGGCCTGCCCTCGGTTTTCCCTTTGGTCAAACAGAGGAGTGTGTGGGGACTGAGCCTTGTCCTACCCTACCTCTCCCACTGCCCGCTGCCCTGGCAGGGATCCTTGTATGTGCACGCAACTGTGCCCGTGCCCGCACACACACACATACACACACACACACACGGCTCCCCCACCACCACCACCACCACCACCACTCACATGCTCTTGTACATGCGCTGGCCATTCTGCTGGTTCTGAAGTCTGGTCTTGGCCAGGTCGATGGGGAACACGCAGGTGACCCCAATCAGCCCGGCGATCCCGCCATTTATGAGCTTGGCTGGCAGACTGTGTGGGAAGGCAGGTGAGGGTCAGAGGTTGACAGGGTGGGGCTGGGAGGGGGGGGGCAGCTGGGGCAGGGTCTGACCTGATCTGCTGATCAGCCATTTAAGGTGAACGTCCAGGTAGGAGGTAGAGAGGTAGGTGCAGTGGACACAAGCGGCCAGATGTGGAGGAGGGGCTGTCTGCCAGATGTGGAGGAGGGGGGTTTCAAGGTGTCAGCCACACTTCAGTCCTGCTGGGACAGCAGTAGGGTCAGCAGGGTGGGCAGATGACCCTGGGAACAAATCTCCCTGCCCTCCAGGCTGATGCATCCTGGGGAGAGGCACACCCCGTCTCACTTCAAGCCCTCCACTCCAGCGTCACCCCCACAGCATCACACGTACACTCACGTGCATAGGGTGTGCTCCAGCTTTTAAAGGGCCAGGCGCCTGGGGGCAGCGGCAGATGTCAATTTGCCAGTGGGCCCCCGGACCTGAGACTGCCACCCGTGTCCCTGAGAAGAGGTGGCAGGCACCTGCTCTCAAGACGGAGCTGGGGTCTCCTCACTGGTCCCCTCCTAATGTCCCACTTCAGAATACAGCCCCCACCCCAGAGACAGCAGCAGAAGCCCCCTCCCCATAATGAAACACCCCAGAGGTAGCCATAGGTACCTGGCCCAGGTGCGATCTTCTCTCCTCCCCACCCCAGCCCCCAACCAGGAATTTCACTCCTAGACAGACAGGAACCAGAGACTGGGACCTCTGGATGCCTGGGGACTAGCTGACCTTCTGAGACCCCTGTGGTTGGGACCCTCATACACTCTGCGGGTGGGGAGAGAAGGGCCCTTCTACTGGGGACAGAGCTGGCAGCCAGCCCCAGCCCAATTGTCCCCATGCTAGCTGCAGTTCTGGGCTCCCTCAGAGTCCTCACTCCCCAGCCTCCTCCTCCAGCCGAATTCGAAGGGCAGCTGCCACCCCTCACTGCCACCCAGGATCACCCTGTGTCTCTCAGGACTTGTGACCTTCACCTCAGTTTCCAGCCTCCAAGGCAGCCTACTGGCCGCTGCTCAGCACACCAGGCTCCGCTCAGCTCAGTTCCACCGCGGGCTCCGAGTAGGAGAAAAAGCCGCGGAGGGAGGGGCAGGGGCAACCGTGATTGGCTGCGGGGTGGGGTGGGGCGGGGCCTTGAGGTGACTTTCTCTTTCACTTTGGTTGCCTACACTCTAGGAGACAATGACAGCTTCTGGCAGGACATGGCCTCGGGCCCTCAGGACCATGGGGTCTAACAGCTTACGCCCACAAAGGCCCACCCCAGCCACCCCTGGACCCTCTTCAGCCTTTTCTTGAGCTGGGTCTGTCCAGGGTCCCGGCATCCCAAGGATGAGGTGCTGCATGTCTGGTACCCAGTTCGTGGGAGCTGGGTGTGTATGGGGGCACATTTCAGGAAAAGCCGCTGTTCTTGGGGCCTCCAGCTCCAGGCTTTGCCCAGTCCTTGGGGACAAGAGTAGAGTATGGAAGCTGGAGAACAGGTTTCTGGTCTGAGACCATGGGCCACATGTTCACCTAGCTGTCCAGGGGCACCCTGGCACGGTCACTCCCAGAGCCCTCTGCTCTTTGAGCTATTCAGGGTCACACACCCCAGAGGCCCTGCCAGCATGGAGGCCTGACCTCTGTCCCTCCGGCCCCACCCGATAGGTGTCAGGCCTCAGCCAGGTTTCCCTAGAGTAGGACCTCAGGGCAGATTCCATATACTCTTCAGCCCCTTCCCTCCAGGACAGAGAGAGCCTAGCCTCCCAGAGCACGCCCATTCCTTCCAGGGGACCCCACATTATTCTGGAATGTGGAGGGAACAACTAAAAATTATGGAAAGTTCCAGTAGGAAAGCCTAGGGTAGGCAGGGAAGCTGAGACCCAAGACCACGGGTGGGGCTGGGGGGGGCACAACCACTGACTGGAACAATTGAGGAGTTCTGTCTGGAAGAGACCCTGAACCCCTTTTCTTTCAGTCTCCCACCTGGTTCCCGCCCCTGCTTCTGAGACAGCTGCCAGGGCCCCGCCCTCTGCACCCCATGTTGCCATAGAAACCGGCTACCACAGCCAGGCTATATTAAGCCTCACGGGCCCCAGGTAAACTGAGGCTGCAGGCAGCCAGGGGAGAGAGCCGAGGGTCTAGAGAGACGACCCAGAGGACAAGGCATCTTCTAGTGGCAGCCAGAGATTTTGCCACAAATGGTCGGCGCCCTTCACCCCCAGGAAGGTGATGATGGGAGGTAAGGCTCAGAGTTTGGGACTGGGCGCCAGGATGGAATTCAGTTTCCCTAGTCCCTTCCCCCTGGGAGGTCCTTTTGGTCCTGCGGGCTGGAGGAGAGCCCGGAAGAGGTCTCCAGCTGTACCGCGCTGGGGTCGACGGACAAAGGAGGCGACCGGTGGGGTGGGGGCTGCTGGCTCAGCTCCCTCAGACGTCTAGGCCCCCTGCCCGCTGGAGGGTGGCCCAGATGGAGCCCGGGCCAGCCTCAATACCCCCACCAGCTAACAGCGATTCCAGCCTCACACGTGTCCACATATCCGGAGGGTTCCCACGTGTGTGTCCCCAAGGTCTGTCCTATGCTCTTTGAGGACCCAGCCCCCCTTGGTGGGACACGTGTACGCAAGGGGCGCGCGCAGCACTACCGGGGCCGTGCACGGCCTCCTACACCCGTGGCGGCCACAGCCCGAGCATCCACCGCCCTCCAGGCCGCTGGCGCCACCCTGTCCGGAAAGCTGTCATCTCTCCTCGCCTTCACGGCTCGCTCTGCTCCGTGCCCCAGCAGCCGGATTGCACTTAGACCGGGAGACGCAGAAGGGAGAGGCACGGCAGTACTCACCGCACCCAGGCCGCTGCTGCGCTCGCCTCCCCGCCGTCCCCGCCGTCCGCGCGCCGGGCCTGTACCTTAGGCGGGGAGGCGGGCCACTCAACGCCGCGCTCCGCCCCCGACCCGTGGGCTCCCGCTCCCCCTCCCGGCCGCTGAAGCCACTGCAACTAGCGTGCACAGCCCTGCACCAGCCTGCTCTGCACTGGGGGTGCTGGGAATCTAGGGGGCGGCCACACCCAAGCAAGGAGCATTGGAAAGCAGCGGTGCGTGACCCTGAGGTCGCTCCTTGGCCTGGCACTGCCAGGACGATCCCATTGGAGGGTGCAGGTCAAGTGGCCAGGAAAGTGCTGAAGAGGCCAACAGCCGTACCAGTCCCTCACATTGGGAACTTTGTATCCACCCTGCCGGGATGGTTAAACTGTAACCCGGACCTTCTCCCTTTCTTTCCCCCCAGGAAGTTTAGGTTTACAGTGCAAGGTCTTGCTTCAAGAGGGGTTGGAGTTGAGTGGTCAGGAGCAAGGCCTGTAGGAAGGGGGTCCACATAATCCCAGCCACCCCTTGTCCTTGTCCACCAACCACTGTCACCCCGACAAATCCACGGAGTTCTGAGGCGTCAGTTGGAACACTAGGTGTATTATTGAAAGAGGTCCCACTAGATCACATGAGGGGAGGGGAGGTCCAACATGGACCAGACTGAGTCTTCAGGCTTGGGTGGGCTCTGGGGACCCTGATGTTGAAGGGCAGGGCGGGGTGGGCTCCTCGGGGGCCAGGCCTGTACGCTGGATGCTGGCCTGGTACTTCTGGCGGCCAAGCTCTAAGACCGTCCGCACCTCGTCAGCCAAGTCCTGCCGGTCACTTCGCTCGAGGGCCTCCACCAAGAGCCTCACAGCGCCCGGTCTCTGGGCCTGCCGCTCAGCCCAGGAGAAGAGCATATGGCGGATCTGCCCGTCCAGGTCATCCCTGGGAAGAGGGCAGTGGTGACTGACCAAGGAGCCTGCCCAGAACACTCATCACACACCCCGGGCCCCTCCAGCCTGCCAGCCCCCCACCTCCCTCTGGCAGCCAGGCCCAAGCTCACCGGAACCTGAGCTGGATCCGCTGTAGCTCATGGTAGGGCAGTCCCAGGTTCAAGGCCACGGCTGGCCAGTCGGAGCCCAGGCGCCCAGCCACACTCAGCAGGTTGCTCTGGGTCAGGAAGCCGCTTTCAGCATTGCCCAGGTTCAGGGGTGCGAGGGAGAGGCCGGCTCCTGGCCCCTGGCCCTGCCTCGATCCCTCAGACCCACGTAGTCTCTGTGGGGCAGAGGGTGCACATGACATCCCACTCCTGCCCCATGAGCTCCCCCAGCCCACCCACTGCCCACTCAAGGCCTCACGGGCAGCTTGATGGGTAGAGTGGCCATCCACAGGTCATCCAAGCCCTTCTTCTGCCGGGCGGCCTCAGCTTCCTCGGGCACTTCAGGGGGGACTGCGCCCCGATAGAAGGATACCTAGGGGTGAGGCCAGGCAGATTCAGTGCTCTGGGCTCTTTCAGGCAACCTGGGGGTCCGACCCGATGGCCCACCTGGCCCCGCACGGCCTGAGTCTCCCGGTCCAAGGTTGTGGTCACATACACCTCCTTCACATTCTTCAAGTGAGAGTAGAAGACGAAGCAGACCCTGCCCTCCACACAGTCAGGACGCTCTGGAGGTGGGATGGGGCTCAGCAGGGAGTTGGGAGACCTGGGTGAGGAAGGCGGGAGGACCCCAGCCACCCACCCCAGGCCTACCAGCGTCCACGTCAATGCCACGCTCAAAGGCCGCAAAGAACTTCTCGCCTTCAAAGAGCTCCACGGTGTCTGAGGGCTCAGGGCCGCGGTACCGTTCCAACAGGCGCTTCAGGGCAGCATCCACCTGCAGGGGATCCAAGTGACCCTGCCGCCCCTGGCCCCCAGCCCCCCAACTCTGGCCCCATGTCCCCCACCTTGTTGTGGGGCAGGCACTGCAGCAGGACCTGCTCGGGGTCCCGGCGTCTCTGCAATGCTATGAGGTTGACGCGGTGCAGCCGCAGCCGTTCCCAGGCTTTGCGTGCCAGGCCCCCTACGCAGGTCTTGGTGGTGTACCAGAGCCAGTACCTGGGAGGTGGCAGGGCAGTGGTGAGAACTTTGCCAAGACCAGAGGGGTGCAGGGGGAGGAGGGACACTGACCAGGAGAAGTGTGTGACTTGGAAGCGGGCGTACAGGTGCGTGAGCTCCAGGGCCACTTGAGTGGTGATGTCATCCCAGGTGGCCGACGGAGGGGCCCGGTAAAGCAGGTGCAGGCGGGAGCGGTCCAGGCTCAGTCCTGGTGCAGGTCGGGGGACAGAAGGCTGAGGCTCACAGGCAGGACTGCCCCCGAGCACTGTGCCCGCCACGGGCAATGCCCACCTCTCACCTGTCACGCCAGGGGGCAGAGGCAGCTGCACAGTGACAGGTTGAAGGAAGCCTGAGGTGCTGCTCTGCCAAAGGTATAGCAAGGGGCTCACAGCTGTCTCCGACTCCCCCAACAACGCCCGCAGCTCCCGGCTGGCCATGCGTACGACCTGTGGAACATGCACTGAGTGTCCACCGAGTGACTGCCCTCCTCCTCACCTCTGCACAGTCCTGCTCATACCTGCATCCGGACCCGGCGAGGCTCCTCGGTGGCCCCCTGAGGGAATGTAACCTTGACCCCAGGATGTCCTGAGGAGCAGAGCAGCGTCCCCTCTGGAGGCACTAGGCAGGTGTTGGACACGGGCCTGGAGACCACGAGGAACCAGGAGAAGTGGGGCACCTGGCAGCAAGCCCAGAGCCGCTGTGGGGCATGGAGGGAATGGGGTCAGACTTGGCACAACCCAGGCAAAGGGAGCCAAGAGTCAGGCGAGTGGGTCTGGGGTAGAGGTGCCGCGTCAGAGAGTCAGGTCAGCGGGCCTTACCTTGGGAAGCTCCTTTTCCTCCTCCACACGGGTCTCCAGGTCCATCCAGCTGTCCTCACCCAGGGTCCTGACCACTACCTCACGGCAACGCTGGGCCCGGGGTGGCACAAAGAGTAGCCAGAGGCTCACTGCCTGCCGGAAGGCCACCCCGTGAGGCTGTAGCTCCAGGACACGGCTGAGGAGGGAATCGTGAGGTCCCAGGGGCACCAGGCTCGGCTCGGGCAGCCACAGTCGGTAATGGATGGTGATGGGGGAGGCAGTGGCCCCTGCAGGGAAGTGTAGGCGGATGCCACAGGCCAGGGTCACAGAGCACCCTTGGGGAGTCACCAGGAAGCTGGGTGCAAAAAAGGGCTACCATTAGGTCAGAGCACAATGGACCCCAGGAGAGGCTGTGACAGGAACAAGGTGTCCAGCATGGGCTGATTGTCACAAGTGGCCACTCTACCTTGTACATACCTGTCCAACTCTGTGGTCAAGAAGAGCCTGGGCATCTCCGGAGCTTCCGGTGGCCCTGTAAGGAGGGAAAAGGGGACCCGTTACCGTAAGTGATTTGATCTATGTTTTCTCCCTGGCCTGTCTCACCCTAGCACCAAGCTCACCTGGGGGGCTCAGGAGATCTGGCGGGGCCTCACCCAGGGGGTTCCCCTGCAGCCGCACGAAGGGGGCGTCCAGGAACTCGGGGGGCACGTCCCGTAGCTGGTTGCCCCTCAGGTCGAGCCGGGCGAGCAGCGGAAGGTGGATGAGACCGGTGGGCAGTGAGGTCAGGAGGTTGCTGTATAGGAGGAGGAGCCGAAGGGACCGCAGCCCCGCTGGGGGGCGGCACTGGCTTAGGGCCGGTGGGGACTTGGATAGCCCACCCTGGAGGCCCCGGCTCTGGACTGGGATGGGCGGTCAGGCTCTGACTCAACAAGAGCCTCCTTCCTAGGTGTGTGGGGGGAGGACGACCCAGGGAGCAGAGCACTAGGGGGCAGCAGCTCAAATGTGGTGCAGCCGCGTGCGTGAGCAGGGGTCCCCTGGAGGAGGAGGCAGGCCGGGGAGAGGCTTTGGCAGTGGCCGAGGGGCAGGCCAACATGCCAGCAAGCTACTCACTGAGGGAGGCTGGGAGGCTCTGCAGCCGGTTGGAGGCCAGGTTGAGCTCAGCAAGGTTGCTCAGCTCTCCAATCTCAGCAGGCAGCGTGTCCAGAAGGTTCTCAGAGAGATCGAGGCGCCGCAGTGCGGACAGGGTCCCCAGAGTCCTGGGCAATGTTTTCAAGCAATTGTGGGTCACAGTGAGGAAGGTGAGGGCAGGGAGAGCCCCCAGGGCCTCAGGCAGCTCTGAGAGGTTGTTGTGAGAAAGCAGGAGCGCATCTAGGCCATGCAGCTTTGGGATGCAAGCTGGCAGAATCTCCAGGCTGTTGAAACTCAGGTCCAGGTGGGCCAGGCGGGTCAGGCTGTTCAGGCCAGCGGGCAGTGAAGTCAGGCAGCCCCGGAGGCAGGCCCCCAGTGCGTCCCGGCGTTGCCCACCTGGAGGACAAAGAGAGCTGGATGTGTTTCTCAGGGACATGGGGACAGAGATGGAGAGACAGGACAGATGCCAGTATGTGGAGAGGGAGCAGGACAGAGACCCAGCTCATCTCAGAGAACTTCAGCTGTGGTCAGCCCCACTCCCCACCCCTAGGAAAAAACACCCCCACTGGGGACTGCTGGGAAACTCCACCTAGCAGCTACCATGTCCAATGCCTCCATCGCAGGAGCCCAGCCAGCCTCCCCTTGGGGAATTTGGGTAGGGCTGGGTCCAGCACGGTGATGGGGGCAGAATGGTGCACCACTTGAGATGCAGAGAGAAGGAAACCAGGCTTCACTTTGGAAGACCACCAGGAAGAGGGCAGAGTGGGCAGGAGCTAGGGTAGGGGCTGGTACAGGGCAGGGCTGGGTGGCTCTCACCTTTGAGCACCAGGGACCGGAGATGGGGCAGTCTTCCAGGCACCTGGGTCAGGGTGGCCCCCAGCAGCCTGGGGTTTTCATGGGTACTCAGCCGCAGGAACTCCACCTGCAGTAGCTGTAAGGGCTGCTGGGCACAGAGGTGCAGCAGCTGGCCGCAGCCCCCAGGGTTCAAATCCAGGCTCAGGCGGTTCCCAGTCAGGAGAGGGGATCCCCCTGGCACCGCACCGGCATCTTCCGCAGTGTCTTCTCCAGCAGCAGCAGCCGCCGCTGCCGCCACCGCCTCGGGCTCTAGCCCCTCCGCCGTAGCAGCCATCACCCACCGACTGCCCTTGGGGGCCGGACATGTCCCAGCTCGCCAGGCAGGCCTGTTCAGGCAGGGCTGGAAGGCTGTGCAGGAAAGGGGAGGGGTGAGCACCAGTGGGGATCGGGACTTTGAGGGGTGTGAGAAGCAAGCCATCTGGTCTCAAAGCCCAGGGCCAGGCTGATTGAAGTGGACAAGGACCTGCTAACCCTCTGCATCCCAGTGGATGGGTCATCTCGGAAACGAGTGTGGGTGGGGCCAGAGGCTGAGGCACCAGGAGGCCGCCGAGCCTGAGGAGCCCTGTTGAGGAGCTGGGGGACCATAGACCTCCCAGACCTGTCCGCTCATCCTGATGGACAGGGCCTGGGATTCCTGGACTGGGTCCCGCCCATCCATCTCTCTCATCAGCGCAGGCGGGAATACAGTAACTGTGCTCCTTGTGGCGAAAAAATGAATGTAAGGGAGGAAACTTGGGGTCTGAACCACAAGTTGGCCTCTAGTAGTGGGGGCGGGCCCCCACGTAGTGACCACTCGAGGAGGATTGTCCACCGCTTCCAGGAGACACCTTGGTGTGCTTGGAAGGGTGGTGCCCGGCGTAGTCCGACTAGGACCACCGGGTGGAAGGCTGGTCCCAGCCGCAGCGCGCTCGCCACCCCATCCCCAAGCCATCCGGAGTCCTCGGCGAACTCTGAGGTTTGCTCTCCACTGCAAACTCTCCCGCCGGCGGCCCGAGAGTACCTGCGCTCCAGGCCGGGTGCACACCCGTGCGTGCCGGAGGAGTCCTCGCTCTGAGCCAGGTTCCCGCCCGCGCGTTTCCGGGCCGCGGGCCCTCCGCGCCCCGCCCCTTGTAGGCCCCGCCCCCCGGAAAGCCCTCGCAGCCCAGGAGATCCCGACGCTCAACCGTTAAGAGTCGGCTTTCTGAGTCCTAGGAAATCTACGCTGTCCAACCTTGCCCGCCCGACTTTAGGGCGAGCTGGTGTCATCCTGCGGCGGAGCGGGGGCGCCCGGGGCCGGTCGCAGTTGGTCCCCTCCACCCACTCGGTCACCTCCCATCCCTAGCCAGTTCCAACCACCTCCTCCAGGAAGCCTGCCTGGCCTCATCTCAGGTCCTGCAGAGACCCACCCAGCTTCACGACCCCTGTTCCCACCATCCTTGTGGAGCGCTCACTCTGCGCTAGGCGCCAGGAAGCCCCTGACCCCACAGTGCCCCCCCCCACTTGAGGACGGGGTTTGGGCTTCATTCTGTCTATTAAATGGGTGAACGACGTGCCTAGTTTGTTTTGACCTGCAGGTGACATTACAGACATGCACTCTACCCAGGCTACCACCGCCCTCCCCCTGGTCAGCAGGGCAGCTTCCTGCCACATCTGCCCTCCTCCCTAGCCTTTATTTCCTTTCCACACAGCTGCCAGAGGGCTCAGTTCATTTTCCTGTGAGTATTTAAAAAAACTTTTTATTGTGTTGGTTTATGGAGCAGATCCCCAGCTTTATAGTCAACAAATCATATACTCTGATTCACCACGATTGCAATTCCCTCCATGTAACAACAGTTAAATCTTTACCTGTATTCCTATGAGTTGTTTTTTTTTTTTTAGTCGTGGTAAAATATATACAACATGTTGTTGTTAAGTGCCATCCGAGTCGGTTCCAACCCATAGTGGCACTGCATAGGGTTTCCAAGGAACAGCCGGTGAGCTTGAACCGCCACCCTGCAGTTCAAACGGCTTTACAGTCTGGAGCATTAACCCACAGCGCCACATCAGGACTCCATGTATAACATAGAATTTATCCTATCAGCCATTTTCAGTGGCGTTCATTTGTCACAACGTTGTGCGACCATCGCTATTATCCAAAACTGATCATCCCAAACAGCAATCCAGAGGGATCTTTTTGAAAAACAATCACTACATGTCACTTCCCGGCTTAAGGCATGGGAACCGCTTCCTTTTCCCATTGCAATAAATCCCCCAGTCCTGTAAATACCTAGCTAACCTTGACGGCAGAGAATATCAGAAAGATGTTTACCTATGCTTTATTGACTACGCAAAGGCTTTCGATTGTGTGGATCATGACAAGTTATGGACAACATTGAGAAGTATGAGTATTCCAGAACACTTAATTGTACTTCTGAGAAATCTGTACCTAGACCAAGAAGCAGTTGTTCGAACAGAACATGG